TAAAAAAAAAAAAAAAAAAAAAAAAAAAAAAAAAAAAAAAGTATATTGGGCCAGGAATTTAGCTCAGTGGTGCTGCCGCCTGCCTCACAAGCGTAAGGTCCTGAGTTCAATCCCCAGTACCACCCCCATAAATAAATAAATAAATTTTTGGAGGTGTTTAGGGTATGTTTCCGCCCAGGAAATCTCGCTTAAGAAGGCTTTAGGATCATCCTTTTCTCCTATCCTCTATGAAAACAAAACTGGACTAATCCCTGGAATCGTTCGTCTCCTTCATAAATAGAACCGAATGCTTCTAGTTCCAGCTCCTGGCCCTCAAGCGAGCTCAGTAGCCCCTCTCCTCTCCTTTCTGTGCTTTGGCCTCGGCAGGGAGCCCGGTGCAGCCAGGGACGGTGGGCCCAGGTCCAGGGGGTGTCCAGGGAACAGTTGCCACGCACCTGTGTTTAGACTACGACCCATCATCACATGACATCAGGTTGGCGTTTTCTCCTGGCTGCACCAGGTTGGCACACAAAGTCTCAGGTTCTGGAGCATTTTAGATTTTGGATTTTCAACCTGTACTTATGCCTTTTACATTGGAAAAAAGAAATAGGAAAATATACACAGATCTGGTTATTTTTGCAAAAAGCAATACGGGGAGAAGATATACTGAAACCTAGTAAGACTGGCTACCTAAGGAAGTTAAAGAGGAATAGGAAGAGTTGAGTGGACAGAAAAGGTTGCAGGAGGTAGTGGGACTACTTTTTGCAGTTTTGCCTTTGCCCTTCATATAGCTCCGAAATAGTGAAATCAATAGAGTGGGGGGGAGACCCTAAAATGTCATACAAAGTGACCCTATGTAGATTTATATTGTTTGTTTGTACTGCGGATCAAACTCCGGCCCTTGGGCTTGCAAGGCAGGGGCTGGAACCCCTGAGCTAAATCCCCAGCCCCCTTTCTATATGTAAATGTTGTTCACAATCACAGAGAGGAAGTAAAACTACCTTTCAACTGTATACCCTCAGAATAAAAACAAAAAGAATAGCCAACATTGAGCTCTCACTGGTGGGTAGGTCTGTTTAATCACTTGATAATAATGAATCCACTGGAACTGTATTAGAGGGTCAGTAAATAAGTACATTTTTTTTGGTACCGGGAATCGAACTCAGGTCCTTGCAGGCGGCCGAACCACTGAGCTAAATCCCCGGCCCAGAATAAGTACATATGTTAAGGATGAGAGTTAGGTGTCGTTTTGTTTTTGCAGTACTGGGTCAAACCCAGGGCCACTGTACCACTGAGATATATCCAGATTGACTGACTGAGACAGGGTCCCACTGAGTTGTCCAGGCCAACCTTGAATTTGTGCTCCTCCTGCCTCAGCCTCCTGAGCAGCTGGAATTACAGTTAAGTGTCACTGCACCTGGCTAATCGGAGTTAATTGTATGACTGTCAGAAAAGAAAGTTAGGAATATGGAAGCAAACAATGAGCCCTATGGTGCTGGATGAGAGAGATATCAGTAAGAACTCATGATTAGGTAGCCACGGTTACATGTGTGGCCATATTTATATGTGTGTGCTTGTATACACACACTCATTCGCGAGGTATCTCCCGGACCTGTCAGCTGATGCAGTTTGGAAGCAATGAGACTCCAGTAATAATAAGCACCTCTAATGCCCTGATCTTGGGTTCCTAAATACCAGTCTCCGTGCTAAGGAACCGGGGCTTTCTGGATAAAATGGCTCAGTCCAGTGTTGGGAGTGGAGAAGGTACAAAATGAACCTGGAATATTTTATTGTCCTAAAGGCTAAGGAGGTACGTAAAGAATGAGACATGTGAAAAGAACCCAGAGCCAATGTGAAGGAGTTTCCACTAGCAAAAACCAAAATGCTTGAGTAGAAAAGTAAATAACAGGGGCCAGGATTTACCTCACAAGCGCAACGACCCGAGTTCAATCCCCAATTCCAAAAAAAAAAAAGAAAGAAAAGAAAAGCTGAACCTCCAAGAAAGTCCCAAGTGGCTAACTGGGCCCCAATTCCAAATGAACCTTGGAAGCCATCTGCTGACTCGGAGGGTCACACACATACTCTGTTCCTGGAAGAGCCATAAACTGAACTTTTGTGACCCTTGGCTGGTCATGTTCCCGTCTCAGCTCCCAAGAAAAATAGCCTCGAGTTGCCATTGGGACCTGGCCAATGAGCTGTGACTTTTAAATCAGCCAATCAGGATCAAGCACTTGCCACAGGTTTATAGTCCCTTTATTTGCATAATGGTCCACCTGGGGCCTGTGGAAACTTTCTCTATATAAGCCACCCCCTCTGTTTCTTCCTCCCAGGTGCATATTTTCCGTAAAAGGGTTCATCTTCCAGGTTTGCAACCTGCTTATTGAATGAGGTCTTCCCTTTTATCTTAAATTCTTTCCTGGTGAATTTTTGTGACGTTACAAAGGACAAACTTGTAACTTTACAGGGGCGAAACAACTTTAACCAAGTCACCAAAGTTAGTATCACTAGCAATGGGCCAACCAATATCGTTTGTCTCTGAGAAGGACACAGTGTCACTTTATGGTATTCCTACAGAAAAGGCACAACACTTGGGCGTAATCATAAGGAAACACCAAACAAATGCAAACTGAGGAATACTCCACAAAATTCTTTCAAAAACAGAAGTCATGAAAGGCAAAGACTGTTACAGACTGTTCAAAATTAAAAGAGACTAAATACCTGGGAAAATCAACGTAAAGGACCAAAGGTGTATTCAGACTCACTTTCAGAGGTTTCAGTCGACGGTCACTTTGACTCCATTATCTCTGGGCCTCTGGTGAAGCAGATCATCATGGCTGGGAGTGTGTGACTGAGGAACACGGTCCACCACCGAGCAGCTGCGAGGCAAAGAGCAGAGACAGGAGCTGGCGCCCCAATATTCCCCCCGAAGACACGCCCCCAGTGACGACTTCCGCCATGAGGCCCCGCCTCCCCGCCTAGAGTCTCCGCCCCTCCCAGCGGCCCTGCCTTCTGAGTACCAAGTTCCCTCCCTGCGACTAGGCTTTAAGTGAATTGGTTGCTGAATGCGGAACTGTATATTGTGTGTATGTGACAATATTCAGAACAAAGAAATGGTCAAAGCAAACTCCAACATGATGGCTTTGCCTTTATTTTCATAATTCTTAACGTGTGATACTCCAATGTGTAACAGAACATAAAACTCCATTACTGTGCTATGTAGTACAATCTGCAAAAATTACAATATTTGGAGCATACAAAAAGACCCTAAGGCTCTAGAAACAAGATGTGCAGAACTGTTAAGAAAAAAAAAAAAAGGCCGTAAGTCCAAACAGAGTGCCTCAATGGAAAAGCCAAACAGTTGTGGAGCAAGTAGGTCGTTAAAGGAGGGATGTCTGTATTTAGGATCGAAGAGATACGTTTGCAACTTAATCTCCCAACAGCTCATAGAAAATTGTTCAGGAAAGAGAACGATAAGAAAATGTAAAACGTGAATGACTGGGGAATCTGGATGTAGTGAGTATGGTATTCCTTTGTACTATTCTGGTCGCTTTTCTGTAAGTAGGAAACCGTGCCAAAATTTAAAACTCAAGCAAAGGAAAGTAGAAGTACAAGACTGCCTTTGTTTGCAGAATGGTGGGTTAGGTACTTTATAGACCCTCCTGCAATAAAATACCTGTGATCTGGAAAATGTCTTGTTAACGCTTTCCACCCACTTGCACCACTGGTGGTACCTGCATGATTTTATTAATTTTCTTAGTAAAAAGACTGATAAAAGCGATCAGATTTGTTTGTACCACCAATAGTGCAAGATCTTACTGTTCATAAAGTAACCTGTAAGGCAACAACAGGCAATTTTATACCAGTAAGAAGTTCAAATGTGTTTGAGTAGAAAAGTCCGTTCTCCTGCACTAGACTCTGGGATTTTTTTTTTTTTTTTTTT